GGCAGCCTCCAAATTTATTTTACCAACAGGACGTGGCAGGTGAGACAAGAGGGCGCCCTTGGGGTGGAGCTTGCATGGTCACAGAGCTGCAAGGGGTATTACAGCCACCCCTGGGGACACAGCTCCATGACAAGCTCTTAGTACCACTTATATAAAAAGGAAGAGGGACCAGGAGTATGGGACTAGGCAGCATCTCCACAAAAGACTGCTATTAGTACACAGTTCAGTAAGCGCTGGCTTGGGCAAAAAAAATCTTCCCAAATAAATGTCTATTCACCAGTAAGTCATTTCTGAAAAGGACATGCAGATGATGACTCTAAGATTTAAGAATACTGCAAAACAGAATAGACAACTAAATGCAAATTGCAATATTAGCAGTACATCTTAACTGAGAACTAGAAATAGTTCTAACTGCTAAATATCATCTCCTATGTGTAACCAACTCACGTCTCTTGTTGGTTTAATTCTCAGTCAGCTCTGTTCTTAATTATTGTTTTCTGCAGTATTAAGTGTATAGGGTTCTCTACTGGTCATTTGGAGAGCTGTCAGTTCCTGACAGTATTTTAAGTATGTAATACCAGAAACATTTTGAGCATAATTCTTAGAAATCCACAGAATGTAAACCCAAATTATGATCAGTCTGTAAAACAATCTTTATCTTAGCTTGCACAAGTGATAATAGAATTCAGTTTATCTGAAACAAAGTAGTACATATTACTTCATCTTTAAATCCCAATTTAGAGATATTTACAGACATTAAAAAGAACCAAAAATTAGTAATTCATATGTATGGATGCATGCTACATCTTAAGAATCTGTCAAGTTACCAAATCTAAATTTAAGATCTGCTTCAGCTTGATAGACATCCCTATATAGGGTTATTTTTCTTTCTCCTCCTATTTTTTTAAATTGCACGTTAGCAATTACTTATTCCTTTAGCGTGTCACTACATAAAGTAATCCGAGCAAGCCCTAAAGATGCTTCTATTCGGATAACGTGGGTGAGAAGATGACAAACATTATACCTCGGGTACCAAAAAAAGTGAACAAAAAAGCCCTTCATATATAATCTGAATGTAACCTAATATCAGACCAGTGAATAATTTAAAAGTATCTCTCCTTGTTTCAACGTTTCCAAAACCTTCACATAAAGAGTTTGGAGGAAAGAGAACTTTCTTTGTTTTAGTTTCAGCATCGATCCAAAGAACCAGTTGCTTTTGACAACTAAGTGATAGCAGGTACCATTCATGATACTTCAATCTAATTTAGGGTTGCTGGTGCTCCAGATGATTCCTATTTTTGCAAGTACTAGCATAAGAATTAGTAGTTTCACCTTTGACTCACTAAAACCCCCTGCAAAACTATCATATGTGACATAACAGAGTATGCCAGCCACTAGTGGGCTCAGCAGTAGGCCTGTGCGAAGCAGCAAATATTTGATTCGGGTTCAGCCAATTCAGAGGGACAGCGATTTGATTCAGTGATTCAACTCACTGTCCCGATTCGATTCGGAGATTCAGCCATAGACTATAATGGGGAATCACTAAAATACCTAGAACTTTGTCATTTTTTGGTTTGGATGAAAACAGCAGGGATGGTAGCCCCATCTGAGGGCATGAAGCCTGCCTATTTTCAAAGAGATAGGTGCAGGGGTTTCTGTGAAAGTGCACCTGAAATTGTTGAAAGCAACTCTTATCACTTGTGTATGTTAAGACAGAGCAGGATGAAAGCAGCAGGGATGGTCTTTGCTGACGGTAGGGAACTTGGAGAAAGATCACAGTCACTGGCCAGCTACAGATGTCAATATAAGAAGTCTGCCCCTTTCCTCCCCCCCCCACTTTGCATATATGGAGGATCATCCCATCCCCCTCCCTCTTATTTTCTGTTTGCTGCAAGCCTTCTGAAACTCCCCAAATTGATTTGAAGGCTTCCGATTCGATTTGGAGCTTTTAATGAGTCTCCTGCTTCAGAGATTCGGCTGCCAAATTGGGCTGAATCTCTTCCGAATCAAATTGGCTACTGAAGCTTCGCACAGCCCTACTCATCAGGGCATTCTCTTCATTTATTAAGGCATCTGTCTGCTTAACCTATTTTAATAGTATTGTATATCCCCACAGTGCTACATTAAAGGTGTAATATTGTTATCTGTGTTACATCTTCGGTACTAGAAGATTCTTCGCTTTTATTTCTTCTAGAACATAAAGATCATGTCGTAAAGCATGACTTATTTAGTATTGCCTCTGCTTCATTGTAATAGGTGTCTTCCAACTCATTTTTGCGCGATTCACAGGCACCCCCAACACTTGCCCTTCTGTGAGGTATGTGTCAGACACACACCTCAAGTACACCAGGCTGCAGCCCCTTCACCACCACCTCCAGAACCTGTTGCTGAGGTGCTGGCTCTGCTACTTCTCCCTGCATCTTTCTCAGTTTATGCCCTCCCTATCCACAGAACCATCAAGTCCTGGGACCTCCTGTTCAACCTCTTCCTGGCCCTACCTAAGCTAGCCATCTACCTGACCAGGAAGAAGGCTCTGGCAGGGGGACCCCTGCAGACTGCAGGGCCACTTTCCCATCCCCAGTTCAATCATGTCTCAGGCAGAATTTCACTGGACTATATTCACTGGCTCTTTGGACTTGTTTGGGGGTCAGTGGGCACTGTCTGGTATGCTCTGCTCAGTGCCCCTTTGGTGCACGCATTATGAACCACTGACCTTTGCTCCCATCCCCATTTTGTTTTTCTGTTGTTCCATGTAATCACCTGACACTTATTGAATAGCTCCCTCTATTAACAAGGCGAGCTGCTGCTCTGTGGGCCTAAGGCCCATATCCTCAATATGTGTTACGTAGGCCTGGTCAACCTGCTCCCAGCTCTAGCTAAGGTAGCCATCTACCTGACCAGGAAGGAGGCTCTGCCCCGAGGAATCTCTGTGGACTATGGCGGGGCCACTTTCATGTCCCCAGTTCAGTCCTGTCTCAGCAGAACTTCACTGGGCAGTGTCTACTGGGTCCTTGGACTTGTTCAAGGGGCAGTGGGCACTGTCCAGCATTTTCCACTCAGGGTTCCCCCTGCCCCTGAGCACTCATCATCAACCTCTGACCCTCACTCCCATCTGTTTTCCTTCTCAGTTGCCCCAAGAGATCAGCAGACACACACCTGGCAGCCCGCTCTAAGACCCAAGACAGGCCTCTTCTGTGGGTGATCAGCCTGAGTTGTGAACTGGTAACCAAAAGGCTGGCGCAGTTCAAGTCTGGGTGTGGGCAAGTGAACCAACACTGGAGGGGACTCTTTGGGTACAATGAGCATGTTTCTGTTGAGCTTCAAATGGGCCTGCTGCCAGTACCAAGCATTGCTGGATGGGCCTGGCCTACCAGCCCCAGACTGTCAAAGCTTCCACCTTCCTTGGAAACAACAAGCTCAGGGGGGCACGGGGCTAACAACCAAAACAAGCCTCACCAGGATGCTTTTGGAACCCTGGTACTTTCTCCAAAGCTTCATCTGCTTCCAGCTGAATTTCCGGTTCTTTGCCTTCTGACACAGCAGCTTCTGGACCTGCCGTGTTGCTTTCCTCTTGGGCCCGAGGCGCACACGGTGGTTCCCAGGCACCCTGAACTGGAAGCAGTATGGGCAGATCCTCTCGCTGCTGCTGCCTTCATCATCTGCAGAAGAAGGAAGGTGACAGGGGCAACCTTAGAGCGAAGTCTCTCTTGAGCTGTATCACTGCATACCCCCCGCCTCCCAGTTGCCCAGTCCACTTATAATCAGCTGAACTGGGCTTGCTTTTTTAAAAAATCACGTTAATTTTTAATGCCTTTCTTTTTCTTATGAGACTTGGTGACATTACCAGCCCACCCCACCCCACCCCAGACTTGCCTCCCAGAGCCTGCAGGGTCCAGCTGGGGGCAGACGAACAAAGAGGTGGGTTAGTACATCACTGGGTGGAAAGGGGAGGCAGGGCTGAGGGATGGCGGGAACGGGCGGCGCCATGACGTTACTCATAGCGACAGGACCCCCCCCCTTACAGCAGGAAGCAGGCCTGGGCCGGGCACGTGCCCCCCAGGCCCCGCGCCGC